AATACTTTCAAAGTGAATTTGGATAAATATTTTTCAAGAAGACTTTGCAAAGGCTATTTAAACTACCTTCTGCTTGGATTACCAGAAATCAGTATACTCAATTTTCTAGCAAAGAGGGAGATGTTTGTGCATGGAGAACCACGTGTGTGAGAGCATGCATGTATTACGTATTCTTGCGTTTGTTCAGACTTTTAAAAAATACCCATTATATCAAGAGATGAGGCATTGTCTTTTATCTGAAATAGTTCATGTCCTTTCATACTTTCCCGTGAAATTTTCCTCTGAAAGTATAATTGCTTTTTGATTAAAGATGTCTACTAGCATTTTGCTAGAATCTCTGTAATTTGACTGAATACAACATTTCTCTTTGTCATACCTTTTCAATAACAGTAAATCCTCTCCACTGAAAGTAAATGGCTCCTGTATTCACAGTAAAAAAAGCGTGTGAGGATTTCTACCTGCTTCTCCACTGCAGAATCTGAATGCCAATGAATTTATAGTGAAGAGTTTATGAAACATAAATCATCCTTGTCCCATGTATTCATGAAGTTGTTGGACTTTGCATCACAGTAAGTCATTTCTCAGTAACACACAAGCTCACCATTTGCCACAAGAAGCTGCTCTACATATCCAGAAACTAGCATCCATTTTGTAAATAGGAGGTGATTGGTGCTGCTCTTCACTATTTATAGTGTATCCTGAAGCTCTTTGGTCAGACCTGAGCTCCTCAGTATCTCAGGGAAATGTCTACTCACATCCCACTCATTTGCACAGACCTCATGAGAGGCCATGGTATGGCATTAATGTTCAAATATTTTCAAAACCAGAAATGCTTCTTCTCAAAGCAGTAAAAGGAGAACAATGAAGCCACAAAAGATGTTTGCTACTGGCAGCTCTTGTAATAATTTTACATATATCATTCTGCACTTAAATATTTAAGAATTAATGTTTACACTTCTATAATTTAATGAACAATATTTTTTTTCTTGCAGAATGGATGTCATGCCTCAACAGCAATAAATATGCGACATGCCAGAAGTGGCTGCTGGTCTTCTATAAAACGTCAGAGCAACAAGCTCCAAGTACAACAACGTATCTGCCATGAGAGTCTACTTGACACCAGATACAAGAACTGCAGTTTCACTTGCCAGATCACCTCTGAATTCCCCTAGAGAGAAGTAAGAGTCCAGATTCCCTCAAGATTAGCTCAACCACAGATTCTACAGCATAAGACATCATCAAAATCCCAGGGTAACAGAAGTGAACTTGTCAGTTCATGGCTGTTGGAAACATTCCTTCCCTCTCCCAGTCTCACAAGACATATATTTTTTGTCAAATGATGCAAGGCAGCAGATGTCCCATGAGGAAAAAAAAAATCTAATAATTCCAAATTACAAGAATCAAAGTAATCTAAATTCCCCATCTGTTGCCTAATGTGGTTGTCAGAGAAAATCTCAGTGCTCTGAGAATGAGGTACAGAGTTCTTGATGCAATTAAAGACTTTAGGAAGGTGCTAAGCTTTTCTTTTTTTCAGGCTGCTTTTCAAAGTCTGAAGAAGAATTCCAGCTCTAGCAAGATACAGACAGTAAATATTTTCCTACGTTTTTGTAGTTTGAACATTTGTGACTCTATAACTTGTAATAGACAAATCACGAGTTACCATGGCTCTGATGAGCACGGTGTCTTTAGTGAATACACTTCTTTAAGGCTGAACCAAGGTCATTATATCTGAGCAGAGAGAACATATAAGGCTTTTCAGAACTGGAAAACAAATATAATGCAATTAGCTACTGGGGGAAAAAAAAGACTAAAAAGCTATGGGGAAAAAAAAAAAAACAAAAAAAAAAACCACCCAACCACCACCTAACAAAGGCTTTCTTGATTTACAAGAAGGTCAGTTCTAACAAGAAATTAGTTCTTTTAGACATCAGAAGCACTGCAGAAAAACATGACAGTCATTTTATGAAGGGGGTTCCCAAAGCCAGTCCTCAAATTCCAATTTCTCTTCAAGCTAGTTATCATATACAGTAACTGTTAACAACAAAATAAGATGCAATGTCAGAAAACAAGGTATTTTCTTCATGAACTTTGCATGTTTCTTTGCATCCACATCACCTTCAATGCCAGTTCAGTCTTCAGTTGTGTGCAGAAATATGCATGCAACAACTTGTTTAATTAAATCTTAACAGCTGTTTTTCTTCCTATTCAGTTAATTGCATTCCAGACTTAGGTAATAATCGCTTCAGAAGGGGTATTGCTTGACTACCAAAACGTACTCTCTATGTCAAAGGCAAACCATCCATGACCACCAAAGCATGCAAGTCAATAATCTACTGCATTTGCAACATCTTCTCTTCCAGGCAACACTTCTGTGATACACATTTAATAAGTCATTGAATAAAGTACAGAGATGAGCACTGAGGTAAGCATATGAACACAGATCATTCCCAGATTCAGACAAATATTCTCATTTCTAGGCTACAAACCTACTGTCTTCCAGTTTTGCTTCCTCTTCAGTTGTTTAGTAGTCAGTGGCCCAACTGCAACAGAGGACTGCCAAATTCAGAGCAGCATCATGGTCCAGAAACACATCAGGAGCTACAGCACTCGGCAAGATACTGTATTTCACAGCAGTTTCACACTTTGTAGATCGGGACTGTTAGCCAGCTGACTATTACATGGACAGTCAGCAGTAATAACAACAATTTTCTCCCCTCAAATACTGTATTCAGTTCACTTCACTACAAGAAAGACATCAAGGCCCTGGAGCATGTACCGAGGAAAGTAACAAAGCTGTCAAGAGTTTGGAGCACAGGTCTTATATGGAGCAGCTGGGAAAACTTGGATTGTTTAATCTTGAGAAGAGGAGGCTTAGTGGAGACCTGATTGCTCTCTACAATTCCCTGAAAGGAGGATATGGTGAGGTGGGGGTCAGCCTCTTCTCCCATATAACCAGCGTTATAATGAGAGGTAATGGCCTCAAGTTGTGGCAGGAGAAGTTCAGGTTGGATATTAGAAAAAAATGTCATATCCAAAAGAATGGTCAGGCACTGGAACAAGCTGCACAGGGATGTGGTAGAGTCACTGTCCCTGGAGGCATTCAGGAAACATGAAGATGTGGTACTTAGGGACATGGTTTAATGGGCAATATTGATGGTGATGGATTGACAGCTGGACAAGATGATGTTAGAGATCTTTTCCAACCCTATTGATTCTATGATGGAAATACATAAGACCTGTTACTGAATTATCAGAAAAAAGTATTTATGAGACATTATATCTAACATTAAAATTCTGAGCTGAAGATCCAAGTAGAAAATAATATTTCTCCTATGTTGTGTGGGAATCATATAATTCCTGCAGACATGAATTACAATACACCACTCATATCTGTTAAAGTTACCTTTTCACACTCCCTACTATTTAGATTTCTTTCTAACCATAAATCACATTTGCATCTGATGCAAATCATGTTCTGTCATAACAGAGCTGTTTTTCTTGGGACAGTGACACAAAAAGGTACAGAAGGTCTTCAAAAGCCCACTGGCAGTAATTTTGAGTGTATTATAGTAGGAGTCTCAGAGTCTTCCCAACTGTAGAAGTAGATAAAATCATGGATATAAAAAGAATTGCAGTGCCTTTTGGTACTGAAAATACTTGTAATTCTAGCCAATTCAGTATCAGCAATATAATTTAAGGCACTGTAGGCCATGACAGATATTAAGCACATGCTTTCTTTACAACCCCCCCTGGCCAATTGCTTGGTGTACCTTCAAAAATAACTAAAATTCAGCTGCAGATGCAGAATACACCCAAAAGTTCAATAATGTTAAACTTTCACAGCATCAAAAAGAAAGAATGGCTGCCATGCCCTCCTTTGAATGGAAATCAAGATAGTAAAAGAAGATGTCCGTGTGGCTCTTTCAACAAAATAGCACTAATGTATTTTTCGTGGTGGTCCAGCTTTGATACACAGCATAGACTGCAATGAATTTTGCAAATAAAAGCAAGCATCAAAGAGAAATGACTGCCCAAGGTCAGTGAGTAATTAAATGGCAATGTTTTCAGTACAAATCTGGGTTCATAGCTTCATATAATCAACAAATTCTGGGCCACTCTACTCTTGCCTCAGATAGATCATTACTTTTCTTGTCCTTCTTCTCAAACATCAAGTTGCTCACTAGATGCTGATCTGTTTTCCCAGCAGCTCCTCAGTTATTCACATATTTCTTTAGGAATCATTCACCGCTCCTTGACTCCAGAGCAGAACTAAATATATAACACAGCTTCAGCTGAAACAAGCATCAAAACTCATCCCTACTCTTGCCAGAACAGGAGCTGACTGCCAATTAGCAGACATTTATTCTTCTGCTATAGTTTGTCCCAGAAGAGCTACATGAAAAAAAGATACTCAACAGAAGCAGGATCTCATGACATCACTGCACTCTCAAGAGTATAGCAAGGCCTTCAGGAACCAGAAGTCAAGAGACTGCAGCTATTTTTCTTTTCTATCTAATGCTATCGCTGTTTATGAAAGTGTGGTTTAGACTGCTAATTGTTGCCAAAGGTGAAGCAAGACATACAAAATAACAACACCTCTGAACCACTTCCAGTCTGTGCTGAACCAGCTCCTGAGCAGGACAGACAGTTGGCTTTGTATGATGCTTTAGGTTCTCACGTTTCTTTCTCATAGCTTTTCTCACTGAGAATATGTTAGTCAATCGACTCAAAGAATGAGAGCTACAAAAAGGAAATAACTTCTGCTGCAACAGCTGCATATTTTGGTATCTGTTTCCAAAGCACAAGAACGACAGTGCTGGAAGAGAATTAGAATTTGATTTATTTCTTAAACTACTTAAAGGTATTTTATTGTTGCTATTACTTTCATCTGAAGTTCCTATGTCTCGTGTTCAGCACTGGTTATTAGCTGTTTCTCTAGACAAATCTTACACAGCAAGCTTTTGCAAGCTTGAGCTTGCACAGACCCCCACCCCACTCACCAACTACAAGCTGTTATTATCTTTGCTGTTGAAATAAAGGTCAGCTCCAACAACGGACTTCACAGCTGAGAACTGTGGCACAGCAGGAACAGGATGATCAGTCTGCATCGTTACGCCACCTTGAAGAAAAAAAGAGTTTCAGAGTGGTGTTCTCTATCTTCAGGACAGGAAATTGTATTAATCATTTATGTAACAGTGTATGGTTGCCATAGTTGGTAGTTCAGCATTATTTCATTTGCGTTTGTTGCCAAATATAAAATAATGTTTTTCCTGTTCTGCACTTGCCTCCCTGCTCATTTTCACTGCTCTGTATTCCTTCCTAATTAAGTATCTGTGGAAACAGTAGAAACACAGCTACTGTTTGATCCTGTGTTATTCTGTACCGGGCCCATAACATGTGGCTTCAAATGCAAAGTATGAAATTTTTCTCTAACCAGGAGGATATCTTCATATCTAGAAAATGAAATGGGCCAAACCCACCGACAAAGCAATCAAGAACTGTTAGAAGACAAAGTTGCCTTTTCTTGCCTGGATGTAGGATCAACGAATCAGAATCCTTCGAGTTGGAAGGAACCCTTAAAGGTCATCTGCAACCTTCTGCAATGAACAGGGATGGGGCAGTCACCGCCTTTCTGAGCAAACTGTGCCAGTGCCTCAACACCTTATTGTAAAAAACTCTTCCTCACGTACTATCTAAATCTCCCTTTTTTGTTGTTGTTGTTGTTGTTGTGAAACCATTTCCCTTTCTCCTGTCACAGAAGAGCCTGCTGAAGTCTGTCCCCTTCCTTCTTACAGTCCCCCTTTAGATACAGAAAGGACATGAGAGATATGTGATAAATTAACAAAGCAGATCTTTTCCAGAACTTTTGAAAAGATATATGTTCCAATATAAATCCTTAAAAAGTAATGATAATTTCTTATGAACCAAAACTATTTTTAATTCACTACACATTTAAAAATTTTACAACTAAAAGGTGTTTCAATTAATTTTAATTTCCTGCCATTTTCTGTAAATACAATTCAGAATCATAAAGCCCTACAAATTCAGTGTGAATCTCTCTATGGTTCAGAAATAACAGAGCTTAGCTTTCTTTTGCAGTTTTTCGTTTTTGTTTTTTGTTTTTAAAGTAAGCCAAATTCAAAATGAAACTTCACTGAACAACAGAGATAAAAATCCACTGAGACACTGCACAGATCTCATCATCCCTGTTTTCTGCTTTTCATTTCAATGTATGGAGAACTGGAGAGAGAGCTGAACAGATGTAAATGAATGGCACAAGAACCAGTTCAAAGAGATTTTCTAGAAGCATTGTATCTGGCTTGCATCAGCTTGGAACATACAGACCTTATGTCTCATCTTCCAGTTGTATTCTAGCACAAGGCAACAAAGGCAGAAGGAGAGTAAGAGCAAGGGTCAGTTCTTTAAAAATGTCAAAAAAAAAAAAAAAAAAGTCCTATGTTGCTAGCTGTGCCAAGTACAAGAGGGAGAATTGCTTCACAAGCAGTATCAGGACACACGAAAGAATCTGAAAATACATTTAGACCATTTACAATGGAAAGACAAGCACGCATTCAAGCTTCTGATACAAAGGCAGAAACTGCCTATAAGACAAAACACAGAAGACAAGCAGAGAAACCAAGGCAGATGAGTTACTTCAGGCAGACATGACATTTGTTAGCACGTGCACACAAAGAGCCTCTGCTCTTTTTCCTCTTGCCACTGCTCCTTGCACCCTACACATTTATCTTCTGCCCACTGTCACAAGCCTGAAAACAACACTCTGAGTGTCTACTGACATCGTAGCTAAATGAAACATGCAGCTGAGCAGTTTTTACTGCTCTTCTATGCTACACCATGAAGGGAAACAACATGTAATGCTCTTGGAATAAACGCCTAAATCACAAACATTTTGTCTGGTTTTGCCATAGGGCTAAAGTAATGCTACATATTCAAGAGTGCTAAAAAATGCTGTAGCTAAGAGCCATCTGATTACTTGCACATTTATAAAGAAAAACAAACTTGCCTGCTAATAAAAGAAAGTACAAGGCACAGTTATATATACCAAACAGAAATCAAATGTTACTGTAATGAGCTGGTAAGTCTGAGAAGCACTCTGTTAGCTTTTAGCTGGAGAAATATGGGAGGTGTGAACAGAGCAGTTTCACTGGTGACATCCATCAGAATGCAGTACATTGAAAAATCTTTTTTAAAGTATCATCTTCTGTAATCCAACACTGCAAACACAATGCTTATTTAAAATTCTCAAATGCTGTGATGTGGGATGATATACAAAAGGTACTATTGAGCAAATAATACCCACAGGACCAACTATTATACATAAAGTCTTGGAGCTCACATTGGAGACTCTGTATATAATTATAATGTTGGGAAATGATATATTTTTCTTCCTAATCATCAGAAAACCCAACTTCTTTGGCCTACTCATTAGCCTATAGGAAATTCATGCCATCAAAAACATGGGGAGCTAAATGATAGTTGATCTTAATTGAATTATTCATATGTAGTAATAATAGTGAGCATTTGCACAGTGTTTCTACTTACATTTTCCAAATAGCTTTATAAATACTAGCTATTTGATTCACAAAACACCCTTTCAAAGGAAGCTATTATGAGGTAAATACATAAACAACACGGTCTGGAGGCATTTTCTCTAACCTGTGTCATGCTTGCCTAACCTTATTTGAAAAGATTTTCCTGTAATCTAAAGGCTTTGTGTTCAGATAGCATCAAAAGACAAACACTGGGTGAGCTTATGGAACATCCTGAATGTTGTAACTGTCCTAGCTGCACCTTATATTTCTAAGCACAGGCAATTAGACACCATGCTAGCCCTTACTAGCAGCTAAAGGAGCTGCTTCTGTTCTTTCTGACAGCACTCAGCCACCAAAATATCTCCATAACATTGTATTTACAGAAGATGATACTGCCAGTTTCTCAATAGAGAGAAAATAGCTTGAATAACATTTAATTAAAATATAGTTTGACTAAAATAGTAAGTTTGGTTGGGGGTGGGAGGAGAGTGGAGATTAATTTCTTCTAAATTAATTTTGCTGTTTTTATAGAGGCTTGCCTTAATGCACAATAACTACACAGTGAGTTCTGCCCTCAGTGCTTCTATCTATCCACTAGATATCCACACAGTGCTTCTATCTTGCCACTAGCTGCTTCTTCCTAAAGCCAAGCACCCTTAACTTTTCTCAGCTCTCCTGAGTTGAAGATGTCTGCTTCTGTTAGGGAGGCACTACGCACAAGTCATTGTAAGAGTTGTGAAGGCACAATTTGTTCACAGGCTTCCTTACCCACAGAGAGTCAAGTCAGCTCCAAAGGAAGGACTAGGGAGAGCTTCCCCAGGGTGTAAAACAGAAGAACAAACTCAAGACATTTAATTACCCAAAATGTGGCACTGCCTTTCAAGTTGTATGATTATGTACCTCAGTTTAGTTTTGTGACTGACTGAATAATTGTCTTCAAGTAAATATTAATAATTCTGCTTTACTCTGGGCTCAGATGCAAACACTGATCCCAAATAGTTCCTTGCATGCTTTGTTAGCTTCTACTGAACTAGCTGGGCTGAAAAAGAACACAGCATTATCTCAGCCTCTCTAAATCAAAGTGGAGACCCAAATGCCATGACTGAATTTTAAATACTTTCTTTTTCCTGAACAAAAGGATACATACTTAACTAAATCCACTAACTTTTGTTAATGTTTGCAAGCATTCTTCAATATTTTCCATTGACTCCCACAATACCTATAGCAAAATGTCACCATTCTTCTTTCATGACAGAATGCATTTTGTTACACTGTTTGATGTCTTATTGTTATACTATTCCATTTATCGCTTTCTAAAAAAGAAACTGTATTGACATTTAAGGATTACTTTTGACAGGCATAAATTTAAACACTCTCCTGCCTTTTCGAAGTAAATTCTAGTTCTTTTTCCCTTGTCACTTCACGCTGTCTTTAGTTTTCTCTTGCGTCAGCATAAATTTTTTATCCCAAGAGAATGACATTTAGTTATGCAATCAAGGTGTTTCCGGCAAGACTTTGTTTTTCAGATACATGGCAGATTAGAAAATCAAATGAATCAACAAGCCTAGTTATACCAATGAGGAAGTACGTTTTGTCTCTTTTTCTTTTTTTGATGCTCAATTTGTCAGACAAAAAATACAGTTCTCCATTTATAATCTATAGTCCTATCTATTGGAGAACTTCTTACTACCTTTTCATTTGCTTTTCATCCACCATACTGCATATTCCTTAGAAGCAGGATCTATGCATTTTACATACAGTGATCATCTTCCTCTGGAAACCTTAAACCTACCTATGTTATCCAGTGGTTATCTTCTACATCTAGTGGTTTCTATAATGCTATATCAATTTTTATTTTTTACAAAGTCCTATAGGAATGCCTACCATTTTCTGTTAATATTCAAGGAAAATATAAACTGATAAAGTCATATAAACTACCAACTCGTGCAACAACAACAACAAATGACCTCAGGCATCTGAGTGGTTGAAACAAAAACAATTCTAATAGGGATTCACTATCTGAAGTCCTATCTTCTAACAGAGTAGTTTCTTAGTCTTGTTTATTCTAATCTGTGTTTTACCCCAAGGGGTGGCTCCTTCAAAGATTTCTACAGCAAGCCTGACCTATCCTGTCTGCTTGGCCATTCACCCCTTTCAAGTCTAACACAAGAACAACCATATCAATTATCTCTCAAGATCAAAAAAAGTTGTCCTAGTCCTTCCCATTTATATTATCAAAAGAAGTATGTTTTCATTTGTTCCTGTTTACTGTTTCATTATTATAGAGATACTCAAAGGGAGTTTTGATTAACAGTTACGTTTGAATTAGTTAATCAGATTGTTTTGAAGATATACAAAGGTGTGGAAAATCAGCATGCTAAATATGCACTTATGTTTGATGAATAATTTTGTACTAAGGATCTTTCACAATAAAGAAAAATAAATTTGGAGCACATAATCTTTTGTGTTCTGGACAAGCATAACTTTTTTTAAGAGCTGCTCTTTAATGCAGAAGCCTGAGTCTACCCTGGATTTCTAAATTAATAAGAGCTTTCCATTCTGAGAA